AAAAAAAAAAAAAAACACTTCATAGATCTTAAACCAATCTTTTATACACTACTCAAGCGAGCACAGGATGTATATGACTGCCATTAAAAGTCACTGGAAATATCATTACCATAGTATCACAAGTCACAACCATTACAAATGAAATTCCAATGATATAAGGGCTTGTTTCCACTAATGGTTTCATGCACTATCAAGCAGCAAAAAACTGGCAGAACAATCAGAACAGGGTAAACTTAGCACATATCACAGACAAGAAAGTGCGGCAATAGTATTTGTTGTATTTCTTTTAGATTATAGTTTTTTCTTTTGGCCATCTTTTAGATTATCATTGACATCTTTCTTTTCTTTTATTTTTCTATTAATCATTAAGTTTCATTATCTTATTTGAGTTGAACAGAACTTTTTGATATAAAATTAAATATAAGACAAATGAGAAATTCAGGAAGCAAACCTTATTTTTAATGTCCTTTGCAGAATCAGTAACGCAAATGACAGAATTTGGATCACTAGATGACATTTTTCCTGATTCTCCCTGCAAATATCAGAGGGATATTTCCACTTAAATCTCCAAACAAGATCAACTATATTCATTTGAATTCTTTTAAAAAGGCAAAGCACTTTTCAAAATAAAATCTAAATGGCATATTTTGGATAGAACTTGACTGTATTCGGAAACGTACTCTTAAATTGATGGTATCTTCCCCTCATGTATCTCATACCAATAAAATAATATCAGTTAAAGTCAATAAGATCATAAATAAAACTATATAAATAATGATAGCTTTTGGTGTATTACATGATTAGCCTAGCAAAAGGCACCCCTTCTAACAAAATATTTTGGGTAGTAATGCATCACAAGATACTAAAGTCTTTTCTGCTCAAATTTCATAAAGGACAAAATTATATGTTTAGCAGGACGAATTCACATGATAAAAGAAGAAATGAAATTGATGATCTATTAGTAAGATTAAAATACATAGGCAAACCAAGGAAATGATACTAAAGTATTTTCTGTTTGCATACTCTTTATTAGTTATATAACATGGATAACCTGGCCTTTGGCCCTATTAATTCCACAGTTACTTGCAAACCATCCATCCACAAGCACCAGGCAAAGCTCCACCTTCAAGGATGGCGCGCTAGGCCCATTGGAACTGTTTGCACACTTGTTTGCATACAGTAATATCTCTATTGTCATTTGCCTTACATAAAAAGTTGGGGTCCTTAACTGTTTGAAGAATTAGGAACTAGTTTGTAAGAATTGTTAGTTTTGGGTTGCATTTCATTTTTAGGTATCAGATTAGTGGAGTCCAGGTGTCTACTAACCTGTTAATGCCAATAACAGGTGTCTTTTGATAAGACAAGTGGGAAGCATTTAAAACCCACTTAAATTGTCCATGGAAGAACATCAGTATCTAATAACCGATTTAGCCATTTTCTGTGTATTCCCTCTTAGCTGGACTGAATGGGGAGGAGAAAGAAGCTGTAGACATGAAGACAAGCATACTTGGAGAATATTGAAGAATTCTGCCAAGTCCAGAATTTAGAACAAGTGCATGGTATGTGTAATTCTTAATTTTGAGATTAAACTAACAAACACATTAAAAAAAAATGTAGGTAAGCTAGAAAGAACTTGATATAAGAAATTAAAGCTCTGCAAGTCCAGTAGGGGCTATAAAATATAGGTAATGGTTATAGTTAGAAGCAAAGAAATATGATGAACTGGGAATAAACTATTCTGAAGCAATAAATATCTGTACAAGCTGTGAAAATTGTGATTTGAATTAGTTGGTTAAAATCTGAATACCTGACCTGCCATGCTTCTACAATTCTATGATGTGTTTAAGTTTTAAGACAAACATGTTATGCATGTAGTGTTTTTGTAAACTAATATTCGTGGGTCATTGTAATTTATGCCATGCATGTATTCTATGAATTTTGTTTATGTTAAGTGACCATGGAGTTTGGACCCCAGCCTAGGCCTGGGCATTAGAACAGTGAACCAATGGACTTCTGCAAAGTTGGTAAATGCTACAACTAGTTCTAGCACCTAAATGTGATGTGAGTGCATGTGTTGTTTTTCTTTAATGTGTCATGTTTGTATGAGTATTCTGTTAAGATGTTCATGAAGTTATTGCTTTAAATTTGTCTAATTAAAAGGAAAACCTATGAATAAGAACACTTTTCTTGAATTTAAGACAGGTGGGCCAAACTAAGTTATGCCTATGAAGAACCTAAGACCAGAATAATTTAGAAGTTGGTGGTTGGAACCCTGCATAATAAACTAAATAAAGGGAAATCAGTTTAACTTAAAATTAGGAATTATACTTACTAGGCTTAAGGTCATGGTGTTTCTTCCACCGTTTCAGATAATACCAGTGAAGTTAGTGCTGATCCTAAAATCTTCTTGGTGGATGTCCTATGCAAACTGTGAGCTATGCTTCTAAGTAGTCCTGCCCAAAGCTCGACGGTGGCTCTACAGTCATCAAATTCATTTGTAATAAGCTTTTGAGCCCGGGAAATGCATGTAAATCAAGCCTTTTGTTCTTCTAAATAGCTGAACTTAAGCTGTTTTCCATGTACAGTAATCAAACAGTTCTCAAAACCAAACCATGGACTTTAGTCTATAAAACTCTCTATTTCTTTTATTCTGTGATCTCTGAATTGCTTTATGGCATCTATACAAAACTAGTTGTTCTTTGTTACAATTTAAACCTTCAAATGACTCAGTTTTATCTACTTTCTAAATGAAAGCACTTGAATTGATATTTTTGCTTAAGCCATTCTTACACCTGCCTTGTAAACCATGGGGTTTATCAAGGGAGGGATGTTACACATACTAATGCTAATTGGGTTCTAAAACATCTACTTATAAGAAATAAATTAGCTGAACATCAAGTTATAGTTCATGGTATACAACACTATAAAGGTTCTAAAAGCATAAGCATTGATTCCTCTCTTCCTGCAACATTATCTTGTATGCAACTTTCCTTACTGATCACTTAGATATTTACTGTGTCTATTCTCCATATATAAATACCTGCAGAGCAGGAAAGAAAGATGACTCGATCAAGGCAGGCTTGTAATACCCTATCCAGGGAGCAACATCTCATGTCATTTTGAAATATGGATCCTGAATGCATCATAATAAGAATTGTATCATTGTAAGCACTTTTCAATGTAAAGGTTAAAATGATCCAATTACACAATCAAGCTACATTGACTTATACTGACCTGGTCAATTGCACAAGGAATTAAGCAACGTAGATTATTCTTTCCAGAGAATAGATGTGGAAATGATGTGGGAAATGAACTGCCTGCATTGACAGAAGCTTCCAAAATAGTAACATAAAGAGGAGCCACAAAATAGCTACTGTTTTGATGTAAAAACACCTAAGAAGGTCAAAAAGTGGCCACTACCTTGATGTGACTTTGAATGAGGTCAGACAGTTTAGATTAAATTAGATTTAACACATTAAATCACTGATAATAGGGCTACTGGAATGTACTCTCTGTCCCATTTTACTTGTCATGCTTTTGGACCTTTTGATTGACATGATTACAGAGAAAAAATACAATAATTCATGATAAACACAATTAATAGCAGCTGAAATTTCATATTTACCCTCAATTTAAATATATAGTAGCATTAAAATCTGTGTTTCATTTACTCAATAGGGGTAAAGTTAGAAAAAAGAACTTTTAATGGCTTGTTTAAAATATAAATTGGCAAGTAAATTGGGTCAACATTTTTTACAAAGTGTGATAAGTAAAATCTAAAATGGAAAAGAGGGAATATATAAAGTCACCATATTTTCAGAATTATTCACTAGGATTAATTCCATAACTTCAAATCTGCTTTTAATTGTTCTTCTTATTTCACTTTATGCTTTGACTGTGGTGTTTCCTCTTAGCACATCATGTTTCCTCAGTTGTATAAGAACAACACTTGCATTTTGAAGTAAAGATGCATAAATTATGAACTCTTAGAAAATGACAAAAAAACCATGTAGGAATATAATAGTACAAGAAGGAAAGGAAGCATCACTGTAACAAAAATATTTCACCACTGATCAATAAATAATGAGGCAAGCTATACCTGTACACGTGGAAAGCTAACTTTTCCAATATGATCTTCACCAGTAAATCCAAATATACCCAAAACCTAAATGTCACCAGAAATCTTTTAAAACAAATGCACTAAAAGGTAAAAGGTCTCTCTGCACATAGAAACATTGTAAGGTGTAAATAATCACCTTATTATATGTGACACACCTTGCAACCTTCACCATGTTCTTGTAGAAGGCACTGAAAATGCACAAGATAAAATGCACCAGACAGAAACCACACATCAATAAAACCTGTTATTAATATAACCTCAAAGTAAGCACAAGCCCAATAAAGCAGAACAGACAAAATATCCCATGCATGTATGAAAAACCTAATCTGTCTAAAAGGTCCGAGCCAAGCTGGTTGCTGCTGAAACTTTTAAAGCATGTGACAATTGAATGTTAGCAACAATTGATCAACAGAACATAATTCACTCCTTTCACTTGAATATAATCCCTACAATTGTTCAGAACACCAGAGCCATCTTTTACACTTAAATCTTTATCTAAATAAAATTTATGCATCTAATTGCTTCAAAAGGAAAAACATAAATTCAGAGAAAGAAATTTTCCCTGGAAAAGGCAACATCATTATAGGCATAACCTGTATCCATAACAGAAAAAAGAATTCCTCTAGAGTGTAGCATCTCAAAATTCTTAAGCACTACATGTAGAGCTTCAAACTTATATTGTAGCATCAGTTATCAATCTTGTTCCAAATAATCAATTTAAATCAAGTTGCATCCAGCAATAAGATTCTAATATTGCAAAATCAGATAGCCACTACAAGTTTCAAGATGTGCTTACAAAGCAGAATATCTGCAGTAAGCTTAGACTTAGGTATTTTGCATACCATATAATTTCTTACCCTCCAACATAATCAAAATCTGAGAAGATAAATGTTTTTGATATATCAAAATCACAAGAGATAATGTCTTTGGCATTCTCACGGGCAAGTCTCTGGCTCTCCTCCACTGAAAGATTTTTCCACATGAACTTTTCGTCATCAGTGAGCTGTATAACAAGAGGGACCTTGAAGGCATCTTGCAAGTAT